ATGAATCTCTAACTTCCCCAAGTATTCCATTACCATGTTGTTTAACAGCGACAGTGAATGTTTGAAACACACTATAATCTAACTTTAAGTTAATGACCCAAGTCCATGACAGAAAGCTTGTGGGAAATTAAAGTAAAAATTATGTTCAAAGCAATATGACTGGGAATTCTAAAATAATTTGTTGTCCAAAACTTTAAAAAATATGTCACTCTTAGAGCTGCTAAATTCCTGGATGATGCCATTTTGCTGACCTTGAGCAGCTTGCATTAATATTGGCATGAATGTTATGTGATAAATATTATTTTATTGATGTTAAGCAGGCTAAAAAAAATATTTTCAGTTACATCACATACTAATGACAGAAAAGTGAACCTTGAACCTTTAAGTCCCAATAATGACCTCCAATCAAGCAGAGGCCAAGAGTGGCTAAGCTTCTTGATATTTCAGCAACCTCTGTATAGCACTCTAGGAAAAATGTACACCTAAGAGCAGTTAAGGGAAATTTCATCACTGGGGCTTAAAGGGTGAAAAGCCAATATAACTACATGGCCATATTGTTACTAATAACAAAGTTATTGCAGCCTTTTTCTTCTTAATTCGACCCTACTATAACGGCTTAGTTACTTGAAAATCCCCTTTCATGTAGTCATTATCCGTAATTCCTGTGGCCAAATTCTCTTATTCTAGTGGCAAGTATAACAGCAGTTGAGTGTATCACTACAGCATTTTTACTTCGTGTTTTATTGTTTAGGGGGCATACCTTCAGAGAAGACTATAGAAAACTAGGAACACTTTCCTCAGTATTCCCCACAGCTAAGATTGTTGCCATGACAGCAACAGCAACAAAGGAATATCAAACAAGCATTATGAAATGTCTGAACATGAAAGATCCCAAACTTGTAATTACAAATCCTGACAGGCCTAATATTTTTATGAAGTACAGCAAAGGCCATCCTATCTTAAACAAAGTAACATTAAGCAGTTTGAAGAAATTCTTTCACCCATAGCAGATGAACTCGTTATTGCCAATATTAAAATGCCTGTTACTATTATTTACTCATCATTAGAAATGTGTGGAGTTGGGTATGCCTTTTTGGAGAGAAAGCTTGGGGATCACCAGTTCTACCCTATTGGGGCTCCCCAAATTCCTCAAAACAGGCTTTTTGCTCAATTTCACTCGCCACAGGCAGACAAAATGAAATTTCAGAGTCATGCAAACAGAGAGTAATATTTGCTACAGTGGCATTTGGCATGGGGGTCGCCTCTTCTTGTGTTGAAAGGATAATCCATTTTGGTGTGCCCCGAACTATGGACAGTGGGTTAGCTGGAAGAGATGGGAGACCTGCCACATCAACTCTTTACTTCAACAACAATGATATTGGTGCAAATGTTGAAGGAATGCAACCTATTATGAGAGATTACTGTGAAAACCCTCAAAATGTCTGCAGAAGAAAAATTGTGCTTAGCCACTTTGGTTTTGGCATTCCAAGTCTTCGAGACAAACACAGCTGCTGTAACATATGTCGAACTGACTGTGAGTGCTCTGAATGTGTTGAGCTACATCAAGATGTTTTGGCCGTTGAAAACATTCACATCCCTGATAATGAATTTCTTTTGTCTGGAAAACAGGTGGAAGATATAAAATCAGAGCTTATAAAATACAAAGAAGAAATTGAGACCAGCGATAACTATTTGAATTTAAGTATGTGTTCAGGATTAACAATGACAGTAACTGATGATGTTTGTTCAACACTTCAAGAACTCTGTTCTCTTGACAGAATTATGGAAAAACTACCGGTTTGGAGAAAAGAACATGCAGAAAAGATTGTACAGATTATAAGTAATGTCACATCCAAATAGACTTAAAAGCCTCCTTAAGAAACTCTGCAAAACATTAGGTACCATAACTAATTCTGATAATATTTTGTTGTGATAATTTAACTGAAGAAGCCCATTCCTTATAAGCCAAGTGGCTTCCTTTGGGCTTCCTCACCATTAGCTTTAAATACTTAAATTTTCTTGTTTTTTGTACATCCTAAAACTATAAATTGAACTGAACTGAATTCCATTTTAAAGTTCCTCCTTTTTCACGCAGTAGATGAGGAAAAAATTCTACTTTTGTTACAACAGGTGTACTTTACTTAGTCATCTGCATCAGACGATTCAGATTCTTCATTTTCAGGAACTACGGATTGACCTCTTGCAAGCTGTCTCTTGTGATTTTCAAGCCAATGCAAGAATTCACCCAAGTCAATCTTCTCTCTTACACTCTTCAGCATATCAGGGAATGAAGGATGAGGCTCATGCATTGGGTCGCATTTGAATGGCCTTAGCAACCTCAGATCCCCCGCCATAATGCCTTCATCTCCATCAGCACTTTTTTTAGTGTGAGCAGTTGACGGTGGCTTGACATTTGAACTCTCATCATAAGCATGCAGGGATTCACTGACTCCAGTGACTGCCATTGAGCTAGTCTTATTTGCCCCCACTGAAGCTATCAGATTTTTTGTGCTCTTGATGGTATGCTCCATTTCTACATCATTTGCCATGTTGACTCCAATTTTCCCTTTCTTGTTGGTCCGTCTTCCCCAAATCACACGTTCGGACACCTGGTGGGTCAGCATGCACTTTACTAAAGTTAGGAAGTACATCCCTTCAATTGCATACTTTGACAATTTGTTATTGGCTTTGAAAACCCACAAAAGGTATTAATTAATTAAAAACATTTCTATCTCCATCCCCTTCATGAATTGTGTCATTCAGTTGCATAAGAACTATGAACAGTTCAATCAAAGAGAGGCCATAATTCTGGACTTTGTCATCGACTGTCACACCCAAGTGGAAAACATGGTAGTCAACAAACTTCTCAAGCACCTTTTCAAAGTGTTCATTCTTTGCCTCCAAGCTTGCATTTTGTTCGGGCATTTTTTTGTAGGCTCACTTCTAGTGTTTTCCACACCAAAGAATTCTAGGAAAGCTTCCACTAAGTAAGCCCTTCCAACTGACACAAAGACCTCCTCATATGCATCAGGGTTGTTTTTGACAGTTGTTGGAACATTTTAGCGCATAATACGCTCTCTAAAATACTTCCGTGTACCAATTTTACGTGTTGAATTCTGGTTCATCAGGACATCATTAATGAGCTGAAAATAAAAACAAAACAATAACAATTATTGTTATTTAACTTATGCATTTTATTTTGCCAAGTAGACTCCAAACTCCACAATTGAAAAGTGGGCTATTAAATGTCCCTCAGCCTTTTTATTCAATGTGTTAAGAACTGTTTTGTATGAAAGAGCTTTTGATTAAACTCTGCTTTGTTTTATATATTTATATGAAGAAGAGATGATTATTACTATCATTACAATATAGATATAGTATTAGGAAACTTGAAGAATTCAACTATCTTTTCTGATCAAGTGTGTCATAGGCAGCCGGATTTATTAAATCCAGTTTGTACTTTTATGCTCAACAGTTCTTGAACAGAAAAGGACTAGATTAAGTATAAAAATCCAAATAATAGTACGTAACTCTTGCAGTCACCATATATATTACATATGTTGCACAGCTGTACTTACAGCTAGGAATGCTTGCTTTGTATGAAAGAGCTCTATAACATCAGGCTGAGAATGTTCCAGTCGGTCCTTAGAAGTGTGAGCTCCAGCCCTTAGTTTACGCCCATATGTAAAACGCACTCTTGTCAACTGATCGCCACCAGATGGACAGTTAAAGTCAGCTGGGATGTAGGTTTCTTGTTCAGGACCTTCATTATCTGTAGCTGCTTTAAATATTGTTTCAAAGGTGGCTTCATGGCTAGCCAAGATGTCTAACACATCTGCATATTTTTTTTCATCTTTGAATTGAATTGGCAGTGGAAACACTTCTGACTTCGAGCTCATTTCGTTAGTGTACCTCTGCAGAATGTGCTGTGATACCAGCTTCTTAACTGCTGCAAATTGAGGATGTTTGAAGAATTCTAAAAAGATTCTCCCCACAAGAACTTTGAAGTCTGACTGAAGTTTCTTGATTTCCTCTGAGGTAAGGAGGTAATTCTCATTAGGAAAATTCTGAATGTCACCAAGTGGCCTGACATTGTCCAAGTGGGTGAAGTCAATCCTCTCGAAAACAACAATGCTTGCAAACCAGTTGTGCTGCTTGTTCCTGTGATCTACCCTCATGTTCTTCACTGTTGTTTTGCAGTTCAAATTGTCATTAACAGTGTAGAATTTCTTTCCAGCTTTGACCAGTTCAACAATTTTCAACAGAATGTTTGTACTGTAGTTAAAAAGTAAAGTGTTCTTCATTCAATATGAGGTAGATAAATAGCAAGTGACTAAGTTGGGATCGCAAAAATTACAAATTGGCCCAAAAGTGACTAAGCTGGGGTCTATAATTGGCCACAGAATAGACTATAATGGGGTAGCGACTCTGAGAGGTAGCCCCCCCGGGAAAAGAACCTGATGAAATGCATTATTTTATATATGATCCTCTTGTTTTGATGGAAAATTTGTGCTACAGGTTGACAGAGTTCAAGGTATTGCTCAAAGAACATAAGGTCTAGCAATTGTCAATACGACCAAAAGTCAGTAACTATGCTGAAGAGTCCAAAAAAGAGAGAAAAAAAAGCTGTCCATGGCTGTGTAGGGTGAAAAGGCTGTGCATTGGGTAATAATCTGAAATCACTATCTCAACATCAAAAATTTTTTTTAACTACCAGTAACCCAGTACAGATTATTCCGACACTGGTACACTGTAACACAATGTATGCCTCAGACATTGTTTATTTGTCAGATAAGAAAAGAAACTTACTATCTTCTCTGCATGCCCATGACAAAGAACCAAGGTGTTCATTCGTTGGACCAGGCTGAGCTGTTGGTTAGACTGATGCCTCATCACTGTATATGCCAGACCAATTGCTGGTATCCTGCTTTCTCCTTTCTTAGTTTTGTTTACTGTCTCTCGATGTGCTCGTGCACATATTGTCAAAATGAAGTGAATGA